TAAAAAAATTACTAGTTTACTGAGCTGTGACTTTCGATGAATCCAAAATGAATTGTGGTTTACAAAATATTAAATCAAACAGATCAAAGGTACAATAAAGGATAAGTACATACATTATAAAGATTTCAGAGAAATGACCTGCAATTACAATCACTAAAGTTTTAATCATCATTAACTTTTATAATTTATTATGATCTCGAATGATAACATGTTCGTGGGAATTATACGGAAATGAAAGGAAGTGAAGGTCCACTGTGACTTAAAGTACACTATGTACAAAACTGTTATATATGTTTATATATGTTTATATATGTAGCATATCATTTACATTAGTTCTTAATTATCTATATCCTACTTTTTTAATTTAAAAAAAAAATATATATTAATTATAAGGTTCTTTAATAATCAAAGATATAAAAAATATTCTTTTAATATATTATTAATAATTTGCGTAATACAGTAGCTTTCATAATTAATTGTTTTATGATTTATTAAAAGATTTGTGTAAATTGTGTTATTAAATCAATTACTAGATTATTGTATAATCTAACAATAATAATTGTAATTAGTTAATAAAAAGAAAAATTTCAATGTGAGACTTAAATATTTAAGATTTAAATTTTGTGCACAAAAACTTATTTTTACATTCTTTAATATATTTTATTGCTTAAAATAAATTGTGTTATTAAATCAATTATTAGATTATTGTATAATCTAACAATAATAATTGTAATTAATTAATAATAATATAGAAATACAAAGATGGACAATTTTATAATTAAATTGTTTTTTAAAAATTAATCTGAATTTATCAATATATAAAATGTTTGAAGTTTATTATTTTGAACGAAAATTATAAATTTCATAATAATCTGCACCAATTTACAAGATTTAATTTAAATTGTTCTCTATATAAATTATTCTCTCAAAAAATAAGAGAAGGTGATATTATGGCCAGTTATTGTGGCCCCTCTTAATATTTTCGCTATTAAGTGGCGAATTCTAGTGATTACTTATGGAATTATTTGTTCAGTAGCTCACCGTTACACCATGATGCTAATATACCAGTAATCAATAGCCAGCACTTATTATAATGCATTTTTTACTTTCAAATATTTCGAAACATTTCTAAGGTACATTTTAGCATTTAATTACACCTACTTCCTCATTTTTCTTAAACTTGAGCGCATTATCGCACAAATATTTTTGAGTGTGTTGTTTATTATTTAATATTTTATTTGACTGTATAAATATTTTGAGTTATGCAAATTTAAACAATAACATGTCATTTTGCTAATATGACCCTCTATGAATATTGACTACTCACGATTTCTTTTTTGAAATTTTCATATCGAAATAATTATTTGATAATCAATTATAGTTCTACTGTTAATCTATATTGTATTACTATACTATTTTTAGTACACTGAGAGAAATGATTTTGTTATAGGAACAAATCAAGGGAAAGCAAATGTGACACTTGTTAAAAAATCGATCGATTTGTTGCAAATGAAATCGTCAATGTAACAAATAATTAATAGTATCGCTAACAAATAAAAGGCTTATATATATATATATAAAAATCGTAGACGATTGCAGGATCCCAAATTGTAAGAAATTGATCAATTATTCTCCCTACATTTGACTGTGTTTGACTGCGGTTTCCTACGACTTAAGATTTCACGATCATCTACGAATTCTATGTAAACGAGCCTAAAGTCTATCCAAAAGGTAAGTTAGATTCTGTATAGTTTGCTTCTATTACTAATAATTGGTTGGTATAGCAGACTAGCAGCAAACACAACAATTTGTTGTCACATATTTATCAATCACCGGTTAAAGGTGCTGGTGAATTAACTGCTAAATTAACAAAATTCTTTCTCTTAGTATACACTGAGATTTTTAGTACTGAGCAACTTATATACAGAAGTTGTGTGAATGTACATATATTTATTTGCATACATTTTGAAATACTTTTTTGTTAATTTTGTAACTAAATACTGTTTTTTAAACAAAACTAATTTTTTATGGAAAGTCACATTACCACCTATATTTTTTTTCGTTTATGCAATGTTACATTTTTATTAATAGTGTTCTAAATAATAAATATTTAATAAATAATAACTTTAAATCTAGAATCGATTCAATAACTATTTAACGAATATAATTCTCAAGTTTTAAACTTAAGTATTGATTATTAACAAAGTTATGTGTAAAATGTAACTGAGATGCCATATAATACCACCTTATTTTTTATTATAAAAGAAAAAAATATCAAAGTGCAAATAATTGAACTGCAGAATCATTACATTATATTATTGTTTGATTGTTTAGAATAATAAATTTGAAATATTTGACAAATTAATAATTTTATAAATTTTTATTATCAACATTTTGTTACATTTCTTAACAGATAAAGAATCTTACACATATAATACAAAAAATTTATTTATTAAATAAGATTATTATTTGGCAATAATGAACAATGCTTGTTAACAAGCATAAGTACAATTGTGCTATAGTGCTACTAAAAAACAGGCAAAGAAGCGAATATTGCTTTCGCGTCATTAATAAGTATAACAATCCTGTCAACAAGACTTGTAACTCAAGAACGATGGGTTTACTTTCGCTATCTAATGTCATTCGTCTTTGCGAGAAAATGTTCCACGAAACAGTCATTCGTGTCATCCGATGAAATCTCGTTTAATTATAACTAATTATAGCTCAACTTTCTTCAATAATACCATTTGCGACCGCGTTTCTTTGTTTTTCTTCGGTGGAAGACATGCTTATAAATCGGTATATGAATCGGATATAGCTTTTCCACAGGAACGGGTACATGTTTCTCGATAGTTATTGGCACCGGCTTTTCCACGGGCACTGGTATGATTTTCTCCACCGGATATGGGACCTTCTTCTCAACTGGAATTGCGATGGTTTTTACAACGGGCACAGGAATATGCTGAATGACCGGCACGTGAACAGGATAGGGTTGAGCAACACCTACTGCCATAGGATGAGGAATAGGTATTGATACGTGCTGTGGCACTGGAATTCCTGTAATCTCAAGAAACGTGATAATTTAAATACTTTGTGTTTTCTTTTCTCTTAAGTGTAATCAAAGCATCAAAATTGTTTTAAATCAATCATTTTTAATTTATTAGCTTTATATTATGCTGCGAATTTTGAATGACTCTACTGAAAATTAAGGTCTATAGAGCTATTAAGAAAATATAAAATGTTTAACAATCTTAGTCAATAATAATATGAATAATAGAAGAAAAATAAACAGATAATGCTATTTCTCCAAAATTAATAATAATCGAAATTAGTAATAATAGAATTAATTAATTAAAAGTGAAATTAACATTTCAATATTCATATATTCGCCATTACATAATGATATTGATCAAATACAATTTATGTGCTTGTAATATAGTAAATATTATCTAAATTAACATCTCATAATAAGACAAAATTATGATATTGTACTATCTAATATGTTTATTATCAACAGTACGAAAAAGAAAATTTGTTTAATAATTAATTTCGGAAAAAAATGTTCGCAAAGTTGTTTAATTAAGAAAATAGAAAGTACCATGTAAAGAATGAAACTTAAT